GCACTTGAAGAGTGAAGGTTAACAATGGATCTCTGGGCTAGAGGGCACCTGAGGTCCCCAAGGAGGGCAGACCCGTCCAGGGCCCCAAAGGACTCAGGGACTGGCCCTTGGCCAGAGCAAGGGAAGAAAGGGAGCCTCTACTAACTTCTCTCGATTTCTTTTAAAAATCCTCCCTCAAATAGGCATACCCTTCCACCCAGTAAATCCCTTCTGAGCATGGAGCCTAAAACAGGATTTAAAACACAAAAAGAACTTTACTAGCAAACCTGCTCATCAACGTATAGCTCTGCTCTAAGGCTCACTTCGGAAACGCCAATGTCCCAACACCATTGATATATCATGGATCAATTTCATTGAAACACTAAATTCGCATTTGCTTGTGTGCAGTTTTGTGGACCAGAAACACTAGGTGAACAAAAAACACCGCACCCAGCCGAACCAAGTGGCGAGGAAATGCCCACATTGCACAGGGATGCACCTCGAACATGTGTCAGGGGCCCGTGGCCCACACACATCTGGGGTCCCAGTTAGCGCCCAACTTCAGATAGCCCTCCTCCCGCCACTTCCCCTGCAGCCATGGGTCCTGCCCCCACGGCCACAGCACCCAGCGCGTGCTTTTCACCTTACGATGCTGTATTTAGTGTAAGATGTTTGTATTTCTTATCTATAAATTTGTGTACAACTACAACCGGTTTTTTAGGTTCCTTTTTTATTTTTTTTTTATGGGCTCCTGCTGCAGGCTGCAGTTTCTAAGTGTTCTGCTCTTAGCACCATGTCTTATAAGGTGCGGTTCTTACTGATTTTACTCAGCATCAAGACCTTTTGCGGAAGGCATATTTATATTACAGCAGAACTATGTTATGTAAAGTGCTTAGCACAGCGCCTGGCACATAAATAATAAGCATTTAATCAACTGTGACTTGCTAGGGAAAAAAAAAAAAGCTAGGGGCGCCTGAATGACTTAGTCAGTTAAGCTTCCGACTCTTGGTTTTGGCTCAGGTCATGATCTCAGGTGGTGGGATCGAGTCCTGCGTGGGGCTCCATGCTCAGCGCACAGTCTGCTGGAGATTCTCTCTCTCCCTTCCACTCCTGCCCCTCCCTGCCCGCCCACACACACTCTCTAAAATAAATAAAATCTTTTTTTAAAAAAGTGAAATATCCAATAAGATTAAGGCCAAGGCAGCACTGAGCCAACCCAGAAGGTATGTAGGAAGCATTCAGAATAATACAGAAAGAGGTTTAAGAATGAAAGGTGGTATAAAACACTGTAGGTATGTAAGATTACAACCCTGCATTAAAACATTTTTTCCGCCGTAAAAAACTGGTAAAGCCGGTAAGGAAGTATATCAAAATGTCAAGAGCAATTGATGGGACTTAGGGTGATGTTTTTCCTTTTACCTAAAAAAAATTTTCTTTGTATACTCCCTATTTTGCAAAAGCATACACCTCTTAACAGCTTAAAGGTAACATAAGATCAAAACCAAAGTAATTTTCAAGAAGCAGAAAAATTGAGCGCCTGGCTGGCTCCGTTGGTGGAGCGGGCGACTCTTGGTCTCAGGGTTGTGAATTCAAGCCCCATGTTGGGTATAGAGATTACTTAAAAATAAAATCTTTAAAAAGGAGGGAAAAAAAGGCAGAAAAATAATCTCAGCCTGCTAACCCAACTCCTGATGTCTGCTCACTCTGTGCTTAGCACGTGAGTACCCACCCTGCCGCTGTAACAGAAAGCACGTCCTGCTTGAAGGCAACTTTGTTCCACTCAACATATCAAACACTTCCTCTCCTTTCTACCTTGTGTTCAGAATAAAGAGGATTTTTAGGAAGCATTCTGAAATGATACAGGACAAGAATTTTGAAACCACATAAATACTGTAACATTTGCTTTGTATCAAGTAATGAGATAAAAATGATTTTCTTTTGAAATCAATTTGCATGGCATAAGGATTAAGTGAGAATGACCTTGATTCTGCCCAGAATGAATCCTACCCTCCTTTTTCTCTCCCGAGGCCAACTGCTCATTGGTATATCAGGGAGAATAGGAGAAAGGGGACACCTATCTTGAGGTTGCGAGCTTCTGAGCTTCTGCAAGAAGGTTTTCGGTTTTGAGCTTCTGCAAGAAGGTCGTCAGGAAATCTGGAGTCAGAGTCCTGTCCTAATAAGCATGTGACAAATTGAGATTTCTAAGGCTGCATACACCAGGGAAGTCCTCAGTACTAACTACCCCATGTTGGCTGCCAGGAGAACAGAGAGAAGAGATGGTGCTCCCCAGTTCACAGCCAGCTAGCTGCTCAGGCACCGTGTCAACATGTAAGTTCTGGTCCCAGCCATAAAATCGAGATGGAACTTCTGGCCTTTGCTGCCCCGGTGGCCATGCCAGGGGACAATGAAGTGGAAAGGAGTTACGGTCACTGATGAGAGTTTGGAGTAAAGTATTACCGGATTCAAATTCAAGGGGCTGAGCAAGCAGCTCTTCAGAGGAGGAGGCATGGGTGACAGGGATCTTCAATCCAGGGTGGCTCTTCCATAGTGGGTAACTAAGGAAAGTGTTAAACTGAAGCTCAGAGCCTTGGGTTCTAGCCCCTTCTTCTCCAGAGGCCCCCGTGCCCCCACATATAACATGAGGTTGAGTTGGATGAGCGGGTTACACCCCAAGGCCAGACAGGTGATGTAATATATCGTTCAGGTGTATCAGCCATCGCACAGTTCTCTTGCTCTAGCTCCCTCTTGTCTTAACTATGAGAAAATCATGGGTTCCGAGGTGGTGGGGAGGGAGCTGTGGTGCAGCCAGCTCACAGCTTTGGGAACTAGATTCACTTAAAATGGGTCCACTTGCCCTGGACAACCAGGGGACAAAATAACTTGTGAATCAGATACGCTCCTATGTATGAAACTTCCAGAGTAGCAGGCGAGTTTTCCAGGGCTAGAGCAGGCGGAAATGACAAGCGAAACTGACAAGGGGAAATCTTACCAGCATAAAAGTAAAGCTCTGCATTTAGGCTTAAAAGAAAATGAGGGGCACCTGGGTGGCTCAGTGTTTTGAATGACCGACTCTTGGTTTCAGCTCAGGTCATGATCTCAGGGTTGCGAGATTCAGCCTTGCTTGGGCTCTGTCCTCAGCACAGAGTCTCCTTGAGATTCTCTCCCTCCCCCTCGGCCAGCCCCCACCCCGCCCCCCACCGCCAATGCTCCCAAGCTCTCTCTCACTCTCTAAAATAAACAAATAAATAAAATCTTTAAAAAAGAAATAAAATGAACCATTTGGAGCCAGGATACACTGGGAGAGAGAACAAGACTGCAAGTGAAAGCCAGCCCCTATCAGAGAAAAAATATTAGTGCGAGCCAACAATATGCGCCAAAGACACCAACGGAACCTTCTGGAGGAAGGAGGATGTAGCAAGCTGACTAAGGGTCCAGCGGCCCTCATGATGGCCGGGGCACATCTGGAAGGACAGGGTCTGTCTGGAGAAGGCAAGGACCCTGGCCGCGTGTCCAGGGGGAGCGCAGCAAGCCTGAGGACAGTCTCCTAGGGCCGCTAGGAGGAAGATGCCACCTTGAAAAGGGTAAAGAAAGATGTGCCGCCTGTCCTCAGACACATGCAGAGCCCTCAAGAAGAGAAGGGCAGCAAATCAAGGCAGCCCGAAAGGCGCAGCTGTGAGAGATACAGAGGCCTGCTTCTCCAACCACAGGACCTCTGCTCCAGCGGGGGTTCCACCCTGTAACAGGAAGTGTGGGCTCGAGGGGAGGTGGTAAGGTAACAAACAGGCACCCAGATGGGCCTGGCTGGCCTCGAAACTGCCTCTAGGAGAAGCACTTCTCAAAAGTTCTGTGCTTGGCCATCACCTGAGCATCTTGTTAAAAGGCAGGCTCTAACCTAGCAGAGCTGGGGTGGACCTGCCATTCTGCATTTCTAAGGTGCTCCCTGGTGACGCTAACGCTGATCCTCCAGGGACCACACTTGCGTAATTGGCTCTGGACCCCTTGCAAGGCGGAGAGCAAGTCCTTACCAGGTGGGCCTAGAGAAGCCTCCTCTGTGGTCCAGCACAAGCTGTACAAGCTACAGGAGCCCCAAGGAGGGTGCCCGTGTCTTAGGAAGGAAAATCCCTCCTGGAGTTACACAGCAAAGTAACATGGGGCCATTCGCTCAGTAAATGTTGCCTGAGGGAGAGGAGGAAAGAGTGGCGTCGAGCTCTGTGTGTTTGCATCCCCAATACAACTCAGCATTGGTTCACAGGAACAGGAACCAGACAATGACCTGCTGCAAACGTGTCTAGAATTAATCAGCTCTGCCCCACCCATGCCTCCACAAAAGCCCTCTGCCCCCTTATTCCTGCAGGGAAAGGTGACTGAGCACTGGAAGTGAGAGAGAGAGAGAGAGAGAGAGAGAGAGAGAGAGACACACACACACACACACACACACACACAATCAAATCCGATCCCCGCAGCGCAATATTCCCAGGGCCCTGACCTCCCCTTGCTGCTGCCCACTCCGAGCCCACCTTTCCAAGCCTAACCCCTCACTCTAGAGCCACCCCTTTTCCTGGCTCTGGCTCATTTTCAGGTGTGTCCCCAACTCCACCGATCCCTTCCAGACTCGGCCGAGTTTCTCTGTCTCCACGCCTCGGCACGCTCACAGCATCTGTGTGGCCTGTCTTAAAAAGTATGCCTAAGAATCAGTTTTACGGCGGATGCGTCGCCTCGGATGCCAAGGTCCTATAAGCTCCCCTTTGTCTCCCCCTGCGGCGCCGAGCGCGGTGCCGGACGCACAGGAAGTACTCAGAAACGGAGCTGGGGGCGGCGGCCGTGCCGAGAGGGGGTGCCCAGCACGCAGGGACCAGCCGAGCCGCGTGAGGGTCCCCAGGGCGGAGCGCGGGACCCCGAGTCCAAGACCCGCAGCCCCTCTGCGCCCTCCCGAGCCGTTGGCCAGGGCTGATCGCGGCCGGCGCCCCTTCCTTCCGGAGCTGCTCCACGCGCCCGGAGCCACCCACCCCCAGCGCCCTTACCTTGTAAACCTTTCCGAAGGCGCCGTCGCCCAGCTCGCCCACGATCTCCCACACCTCGTTGGGGTCCACGTCCCGGCGGACGTGCTCATATTCGCGGGACTTTCTCTTCTCGAAGGTAGACAGGCGCAGGATGCGGCGGAAATTGGCGAAAGCCATGGCTGGGGGCGCGCGAGCCGGGGGACGAGGTGGCGCCGGCTCCGGCTCGGGCTGTGGCTCCGGCGGCCGCGAGGAGGAGGGGCTGGAGGACGCCTTGGCGCTCTGGGGTTCTCCCCAGACCCGCCCTTCCCCGCAGCCCGACCTGGGTCAAGTGCGCCCCGGGCTGCGCGCGGCGGGAACACCCGGAACCGCGCAGGCGGCGAGCGGTCCCCGCCCCCGCTCGGTCCAGTCCCCGGGGCCGCCTCCCGCCTGCCCGCGCCGCTCGCGCCGCACTCCTGCCCAGCCAGCGAGCCCCGGGACGCGTTCACGGGACCTGGCCCCGCGCCCACCCACGGCCCGGCTCCACCTGCCGCTCCCCGGCAGCGCCCGGAGACCCCTTAATTGGCTGCGGGCGCTCCTCGGCTCCGCCCGTCGCCGCAGGGCACTCTGGAAACTGTAGTCCCCCGCGCGCCGCGCGTCCGCGAGCCACGGCAGGGCTTTAAGAGAGCTTAGGGCATCCCTCGGCGGCACCGGCCCGGGTCTGCGAGGCCGGCCGCGCCGCGCGGCTCGCTAAAGGTTTGTGGGAGCGAGAGGGGAAGCCTACTGGCTTTCGCGAACGCCCACTGATGGTCGCCCAAAGGCCAAGGAGGTGAAGGGCTTTAATTACTGAATATGCCCCGCCACTACCCCGCAAGCCTGCTTTGCTCGCGCCTACTTTTCAGGTAGGGGACGCCCAGCGGGCAAAGGCTCCAGCCAGCCCCAGGCTGCACATCCTGCTGGAGGATCCCGTGTGGTTTCCTCGGCGTGGTGCTGCCTCCTAGTGCACGAAATGCTGCGCCCCTTGCGGCCGCCGCCAGTCCCCGGAGGCCGGGGCTTCCTGGCTAGTTTCCTGCTTCCCAGGGGCTCTCCCGCACCAGGATCCACAAACTGGCCAGCATGAGAGGGCCGGGAGAAAGAGCTCCTTGGGGACTTTTTAATCACATGCTTCATGATGGATCTTAAGATATGTTTGCATATTTAGTGAAAACTTTCTTAGCCTTAATTTCCCAATTTTAAAAAACTGAGCTCATTACAGACAGGAGTGAATCCTTGATCCTGGCTATTTGATTTGCTCCACTGCTCCTGTAGCAGCAACTGTTCACTGTCTATAGGACAATTATACTTTTATCTAAATCTACAAAGTGGTTCTGTGAAAATTGATAAAAGGAAACCTCACTAAAGTGGAGTTCAGAGCTGGAAAGGGGAGTCGGGAGCACTTGATGTCAATTACAGGAAAATTGTCAATTGCAGACTCCAGAGTAAGAATACTCAACAGGAACATGATCAATTACAGGAACCAATAGGAAAAGATGCCCATTGCAACTCGGGGAAGAAATCCACTACTCTGGTAACTCAGCCAATGGAAAACCATTATCACCCTGAACTCTTGCTTTTCTCCAGTAAGGTTTCCTTCAAAACAATTCCTCCCAACTTCCTCCATCTCCATAAAATAAAGTTCCTCTCCTTTGTTTGTTGGACTTGTCTATGGTTTTTTCCTTGGCTTGCGTGTCCTGAATTGCCATTTTCTTTTATTCTCGTATAAACCCATTTTGCTGGTAAAATAACTGGCTGTTTTATTTTTTAGGTTACATTTCCAAGTAGAGCATGCTGAGGGGTGCGCAGCCTGCAAAGGTTATTATGGTTATTCTACCTAATAATCAAACGGAATGTCAGCAAATGTCACACTCCAGGAATCTCCACCCCTATGGAGAATGTCAATGTTGAGATGTTTTCAGCCCTTCCTGAGCAGTGTGCAAATTTGAAATGTTACAGAAGCCTGGGATGCTGGTGGTGGTCTGCACAAAGGGTGCCCTGAGTAAAGGCTGCCAAGAGGTTTGAAAGGTCCCACACCTTACTGAGCAATTAGGATTGTAGAGGGTCTTTATCACTAAAAGAAGGAAAACTCTCACTGAGTAAGCCCATGTTTAAAACCTCCCCCAACTAGCTGAAAGGCAGGTCTTTTCAGTAGTTTCGGTCAGTTTGACCAACTCTGTGAAGAGGTGGGGTAACAAAGGGAAAGGCTTTCCCACTGGGAGGCAGAGGCTGTGACTTCACAGAAACTGTAAGTCTGAGGGGACGGAGGTCAGAGCCTCAGCTCATCCCCAAGCCTGTGCCAAGCCACTCAGGGCTCTGTGACTCGCTCTGTGATCCCTCCAGAAAAAAATGAAACAAGAAACAAAAATGGAGAGGTTCACTCAAAAACATTAAGTGAAAGAAACCAGACACAAAAGACTACGTGTTATATGATTTCACTGATATGAAATGTCTAGAAGAGACAAAAGACCACATACTTTATGATTCCATTTTCATGAAATATCTAGAAAAGGCAAATCCATAGAGACAGAAAGTAAATTAATGGTTGCCTGGGGTGTAAAATGGGAATTAACTGTGAATAGACATGAGGAATCTTACTAGGGTGATGAAAATGTTCTTTATATAGATACAGATTTATTAAATTATTAGAGAGCATGCAGGGGGTAGGGCAGACGGAGAGAGAAACGCAAGCCGACTCTGTGCTCAGCACAAAGCCCGTCATGGGGCTCCATCTTATGACCCTGAGCCAAAACTAAGAGTCAGAAGCTTAACCTGCTATGCCACCCAGGTGCCCCTGATGAAAATGTTCTAAAATTAGATTATGGTGATGATTTCACAACTCAGTAAATTTTCTGAAGATCACTGAATTATATACTTGAAATGGGTGAATTTTATGATATATAAACTATACTTCAGTAAAGTTGTAAGAAATCAGAGAGGTTCAACAAATCTAAAGCTCCATCTCAGAAATAGCTAGTAGACAACAAGACTGGTCAAAGAAAAAAAAAATTAAAAAGAGAGAAAGGAAAAATATTCACCAGAGACAATGAAAAGAGGGATATACTGTATTATAAAGATTTTTAAATCACAAAATATTTTAAACAAATTTACGTGAATACATTTTTTTTTTAATTTTAAGTAATCTCTCCATCCAACATGGGGCTTGAACTCATGACCTCGAGATCAAGAGTCACATGCTGTACCAACTGAATCAACCAGGCACCCCAATATGAATAAATTTTAATCTACATGAAATGGGTAATCATTTGCAAGAAAATATAAATGATATAAATAAATGATATATAAATGATATATGGATACATAATTTTAATAAAAAACAAAAGCCTAAATAAACTAATAACCAATAAAGAAATGAATCAAGGGCGCCTGGGTGGCTCAGTTGGTTAAGCAACTGCCTTCGGCTCAGGTCATGATCCTGGAGTCCCGGGATCGAGTCCCGCATCGGGCTCCCTGCTCAGCAGGGAGTCTGCTTCTCCCTCTGACCCTCTTCCCTCTCGTGCTCTCTATCTCTCACTCTCTCTCTCTCAAATAAATAAATAAAATCTGTAAAAAAAAAAAAAAAGAAAGAAATGAATCAAGAATCAAAAGTCTTCTACTGAAAGACATCAGGAATTCTACTCATTTTATGAGATGAGATTTACTGCAACTAGTTAAAGATAGTAAAATAAAATTATAGACTAATTTCACTTATGAATTAAATGAAAGAAAAATAAAATACTAGCAAGAAGAAACCAGAGGTGAATAAAAACATCAGGACCAAGAAAGGTTTACTCAGGAGTAAAAGAATGGTTTTACATCAGAAAAGCCATCAATGTAAGACATTGCATTGACAAAGGAAAGAAGAAAATCACAGTCACAATAGTCACAGAAAAAGCATTCTTAGGTTGGATTCCCCCAGAGGGAAGGATCAGGATTTGAGTGCAAGTACTTTATTTGGGAGGTGATGCCAGGAGCACCAATAGGAAGTAGGAGGTATGAAGCCAGTAAAGGATGCACTCTGAGCTGATAACTGCTGAGGCCACCTGGGGCTAAATCCTAGTGGGGAATTCTGGGGATCAGGATACAACACACTTCAGAGTCAACCCACCTGAGAGGCAAGGAAATGGGAATTTTTCCTCCAGGTCCCATCTGTCCTTGGCCAAGCCTGCTCCCTAAGGTAGCACTTCCAGCCTGCTCTGCTTGAGGGACAAGAGAACACCCCTAACTTGAGAGATGTCACGAGGCTTTGTAGAACTTCTACTAACAGTCCTTACAGTTCTTATTTCTTTTCCTTTCCTATGGCATTTGCTAGAATCTCTAGCTATATGTTAAATAGCAACAGTGAAAATGGAAATTCTTGTCTTGGTCCAACATTTAATGGGAAAGGGTTTAAAGTTTCTCCTCTAGGTATGATGTTTATGAAAGGATGGTGGCAAATGATATGTACACAGAAAGAAGTTTCCTGATATTCCTAATTTGCTAATAACTGTTTATCATATCCTGTCATATCATTGTTATATCATCTACTATAAAGCAGAACTTCATAAAATATTTTTATGCATTTATCATATAAGTTAATCATAATATTAATCATATGATTTTTCTCCTGTGGCCTAAAAACATGGTGAATTTCACTGACTAAAATATTCTTGCATTCCTGGAAAGTAAATATTTTGCCTGGCAAATCTTACATTTAGGATTTTCATATCTATTCACAAGTCAAATGGGCCCATACTTTGTACTGTCTTTATCTGGTTTTAAAATCAAGATACTGTTAAAATAAAAAACAAATGCAGACCAGGCTTGAAAATTCCCCAAGCAGACAAAACCATTTTAGTCATACAAACAAAGCTTAATTTAGCTTATTTTGCAACACTAACTTGACCTGGGTCATTTCTTGCATATGCCTCTGGAAATCACGAGCAAAATTTGAACTGTTTCCCAACATTGATATAAGGTAACCACTAACCAGTTCCTTATCATTTAAGAAAATTCTGATAACCAACCACTGTGAGAAATAGACAGTCACTGCTTTCTCACTATATAAACTGTTTTACAACAATATACTCCTGAGCCTCATTCCAGGTTTCGGTTTGAGTGTTCTTGGTCTGCAAAATGTCTTCTTGGTGTGTATACCATAAACTTTTCTAATCACTACATAAGTGATTTGTTGGTTTTACTACTATTATTTCTGAACTTTTTTTTTAAAGATTTTACTTTTAAGTAATCTCTACACCCAATGTGGAACTCGAATTCACAACCCCAAGATCAAGAGTTACATGCTCCACAAATTGGCCAGCCAGGTGCCCCTCCTGTCTCACTTTCTGATTGCAGGGTTTTTTTAAGATTTTATTTATTTATTTGCCAGACAGAGAGGGCACA